TCTATATTTCTAGCCCTAATCTCTTTCCTGAGCTCTAATTTCACATGAATAACTTCCTCTAGACATTTCAAACTGAATGTTCTGTGGACTTATCAAACTCAACACAGCTTCTCCAGGAGCTGTTTTTTATGAAAGACAGCATAGTATGGTGATAGAGCACTAGACCTGAAGTCAGGAAGATATGGGTTCAAATCTTACCTCAACTACTTATAAGCTATGTGATCCTCAGTAAACTCTTGGCCTCAGTTTCTCACCTACAAAATGAGGGTGGTGGGCCTTGATGGCCTCAGAGTTTATCTTATGACTCTATGTCCGAAATTGAACTCATGATCTTCCAGGCTCCCACTCAAAATCCACCCCTATTCTGAACTTCACTATTTTTTGTAGAAGACCAGTCACCCAGATGTGCAACCTCAATGTCGTCCAACTTCTCACTCTCATTCACATATCCAAAGAGTTGTCAAAGAATGTTTCTATTGCCACAATATCTTTTCTGTTATAACCTTTTCTCTCCACTAGCAAAGCCACCACCCTAGTTCAGGCCCTTATCACCTGTCTCCTGAACTGCTATAATAGCTTTCTAATGGGGCTATCTGCTTTAAGACTCTCCCCTATTCACATCCTACTTTTCCAGTCTTATGCCCCTCCATGCATTCTACAGTACAGCTAAACTGGCGTTTCTGCTGTCCCATAGCTATAAGGTACTGCTTCCCTTCTTTGGGCCTATTTACTGACTATCCCTCATGTCCAAAACAACTCCCTCCTTACTTCCCCTACCTCTTGGAATCTCTGGTTTCCTTTAAGACTAACCTCAAATGCTATCTTCTGCTCAATGAATCCCCTAGTTATCTTGAATATAAGTTTTGTATATGCTTATATAAACATACATGTTATCTCCTCTCTTAGCATGTAAGTCCTTGAGGGCAGGGACTGTTTGTCTTTTTTCTTTGTATCTAGAGGCTAGCAAAGTGCCTAGCACATAGAGGTGCTTACTAAATGCTTGCTGATTGAGTTGGTAAAATGTAATCAGGTCACTGGGGCAAGTCACCTCTCTAAGCTTAAGTCTCATCTGTAAAATGGAAATAACACTTTTACATAGGGCTGTATCTCATTAGACAATTGAGAGGCTCAAATGAGATATTGTATGTTATCTCATTTAGCAAATCATAAAGTTCTGTGTACATGTCAACTATTATTTTCATCGTAGGCATGATATCCACTATATCACAAGGGGACATATAACATGGGAACACGCAAACACTACAAGCAATATAGATAGATACTTTCCAGGGGCACCGAATCACAACAGATCTATCTCATAACACAGGAATAGTACACAGACACAACCCAACATTACAAATTGGTTCACATATTACCTTGCTCAAGTTGTTCAATTTCCTTTCTACAATATGTAGGATTCACATTTGTATAGCATAGGAGGCAATGAGCAAGGAGGGGGATCCTATGGTGCCGGGCAAAGAGGTATGGTAGAATTAAAGGAAGCTGAGTTTGAGTACTGGCTGTTTCATTTATTTCCTGACCTTGGACAAGTTACTTCAATTAATCAATAAACATTTATTAAGCTCCTATTATATACCAGGGACTACACTAAGTACTATACTAGGTATCCTCACTTGTAAAATTAGAGGGTTGGACTAGATGACCTCGAAGGTCCTTTCCAATTCTAGATCCTTGATCTTAAGTACATTTCATGGAGACAAATCACAGAAGGCATCCTTGTATTAAGTCAAACACACTGATATGAGACATACACATATACACATGGTGATACCATAGGCACACCACACAGTCTAGCTTTATGACAAACTATGTTTGGTAATGTCGAATGTCACATACACAGACACACAGTACTATAGCCACGCAGTACTCCATACCATTCCACCCTTCCCACTCGTGGGGGTGGACGAAGGACGGGGAATAGCAAGACCCCCGTCCCTCCCACAGGGGCTATTCCTCTTTTCCACCCAACAAATCTTAGAGCCTAAAAGAAAACAACTCTCAATGCCACAGCACACACACATCAGCCACTTTACATACTGGACACCCCAGGCGCACAGGCCCCCACTTCTTACTCTAGCTAGCCTTCCATCCCCCTACATCACAACTCCATTCGCAGGCTCATAACTCTGCATCCCCTCCCTCCCTCTCGGCTACTACGCCATCACCCTCCCAGCAGAGAAAAGCCCAGACCCGGCCCCGCCCCACCCCCACCCTATCCCCTTTGGAGGAGGGGGACGAAAGGGGGAGGAGAGAGACTAGGTTGCATAATTAACCCTTCCTCAGCCAAATCCCCCCCTTTAATGAGGGGGAGGGTCGGCAGCCCCCCCACGACCTAGGCTCAAAGGCATCCCAGCAGCTCGTTCCCAGTGGAGAGGTTGCCCACCAGATGCCACTAACTCGGGGTCCGTGTTGGCGGTGCCCCGGAAGGGAGGCGGGTGCTCCCGGCGGGCTCGGACCAAGAGTTCTGCGCCGCCCTGGGCGGAGCCTGGAGGGGGTCCCGGGGTCTTCCCCGCCCGGACCCCCCTAATCTGGGGCCCACAATCCTCCAGCGCCCCGCGCCCTGGGGGCTAGGGGTGGGCCAGCCGTGTGCGTCCGCGTCCGGGGAACGAGGCCCAGGCCGGTCGGGGTGAGGTGAGGCGGGACGCGGGAAAGGGGCCCAGGCGTCCCTGGCTCCGGCCCACCTGACTATGATGGCGCCTCGTCCGCCAGGCCCAGTTCATCGCCTTGGCCGCTCCCGGCCACTCCGGCTAAGGCCACTTCTCGCTCCTGCTCCGGCTCCTGCTCTGACTTCGGTTCCGGCCCAACCCCCCCACCCCCCCAACCCCCCCCAGTGCCCGGCCCGGCCCCGGCCCTGCCGCCGCTGCCGCCACCGCCGCCGCTGACATCATCGGTCCCCCCTCCCTCCTCCCCGGTCCCCCCTCCCCCCGGAAACAACCCCCAACACCCCCCTCCAGACACACCGTCCCCCACCGCCGCCGCTGCCGCCTGGCCTTGAGAGAGAGGGTTTGGGGTGGGGGGGGCGCTCAGCATACGCAACCCACACACTCACCCCAGCTCGCTGGGTCAGCAACAACAAGCACAGGGACACAGTGCTACAACTGGGAGGAAAATGTAACATGTTACTCGTGGTGACAGACAGCTGTGCCCCTAACAGCATTACACAGCAATCCCCACAGTAACTGCTCTCTACCGGGCTAGGCCAGTGGGCAAAGGGTACATGTAAGGGGCAACACCTTGTGTGGATGCAAAACAAAGCACTTGAATACAGCTGTATATAGAAAGGGGGCCACATTACGAACTAAGGAAGGGGGTGGCAGTCAGAGGAAAGAACACATGTAACACAAAGTTCACATAATGCACCAACAGCAGGAATAGAAACAACCATGCCAGGGAGAGACAAAATGCACAAAACAGGACAAAGATGCACAGGATAGCTATGCAGTCACAAAAACACAATATAAGGGGACAGAGAAACCAGCTCTACCCTGGAAGTCTACATATCACTACTGAGGAACACTGGTATCAAGTTCCACAGAAAATAAATGGACAGAAAAACACATGACCACATGAAGACCCTAAGAATGCTTTATAGGCCATAGCAGTAGGACATAACAGGAATGAAAAATAACAACTCTCACATGGTTGGGGGGGGGGGCTTGAGAGGGTTGGCCCAATATGCTTTTATATTCTAATGTGAGCCAGACATCTGAAACCAGGACAGGTGAAACCCCCCCAACAATTTGCTATTCAGCCAAAGCACAAAATATACAGATTCGTGTGTGTGTCTACACACAAACATATACCAGGATAAGTATCCATACATATGGCCAATGTACCTGATGGTTGAGAAACTTAAAATACTGTAAAAACAAACACCCAAGCAAAAAAAAAAATTATGTAAATGCAGAAATTATGGCCCAGAGATAAGAGGGTCAGAAGCTGAGAAACACAGAGGCTGAAGTATACCTGTAAAAAAAATTGGAGAATTAGAAAAAGACACATTATAGGGAAAAGAAGACCCAATAGTACTCTTCAAAAGGCAGAGTTATATAATTAGTTACACACATCCTTCTAGAAACATGAGAACAGCAGTAAATGACTTAGAGATAAGAAGTAGCACTCTGTAGACTGAGAAAGACTCAAGGAGAGAGACAGCAAATAGAGATGAGACAGCAAATAGAGATCTATAATATTTTAGACATTTGGAGGTCAGGAATGACAATATACTTAAAGATAAGGCAGGCTCAGAGATTCAGACACAGAAAGAGATAGTCACAATTAGAAAAAGCCTGATAAAACATAGAAAATATTAGGAAATAGAGTTAGAGACAGAGAGACAAAGATACCTTGTCTCTCAGGGATGCCCCTCCCAACCCCCACTCCCAGGAAATTCCAGGGGAGAACTTGATCCCTAGCCTGAGGTCATAATGGCCAATGGCTGGAGTTCTGAGAAACCAGGAAGAGCATCAGAAGGCAGAGAGCAAACTATGGTGTCTAGAGAACCATGGTGAGTCTGAGGGCCCAGTAGGGTGCATGCTAACACCCAATCTCCACCTTTGGTGCTGCTTCCCCTCTTCCCCCAGTCCTAAGCTCCTCTACCACCCAGGACTCTGATATATTACACATCTCCATGAATCAGATTGTACACACAGACACAAAATGTCCCTGGAACACACACACGACATCACATACACATGTGACATCCAGGACCCTCCTATAACCAAGAAAGCATGATATCGAATACCCCACTTATCTAAGGAAGCAAAATGCACTAACACTTTTTGACTGCCCTTTTCACCTTCCTCATCCATGATCATAGTTAATCAGAGTAATAAAGTGTCACAGCATCCTCCAACCTCTAGGTTCTTCCTACTCTTGAGTCTCCCAAGGTATCAAACTCCCCTTTCCCCACCCTTCAAATCCCTAGCCCTTCCATAATACATTAGTAACAGGGTTATTGCCACAGAAGACCTTGGAGAATGGGGAGGGGGGAGGTAAGAACTTGTCCATTAGGACCACCTATTGCCCTCCTTGGCTTCTCCATGTCCAAAAAGGTCTCCACCCTAACATTTCCATGTACCCCAAGGGACCCACCTATCACCTCTCTCCCTCTATCCTTCCTACTCTCTCCTGTCCCCCCTCCATTTCCCCTCTCCCACAGGTTGCCATGTCCCACTCCTCTTTGACCCTGGATGACTTCACCCAGCCATCATCATCCCCCTCTCCATCAGGGGAGGCAAGGGAGGAGAGTCTACCCTGGCACCAACGATGCCGCCCCACAGATGCCACCAAGGGGCTGCTTGTGGCACTGCTGGGTGGAGGCCTTCCTGCAGGCTTTGTGGGGCCCTTCTCTCGAATGGCCTATCAAGCATCTCATCTACCCTCCCTTGAGCTTCTCCTTTGCCGATGCCTTTTCCACCTTCCCATCGCCTTGCTCCTCAAACTACGAGGCTCTCCACTGCTGGGGCCTACAGGTAACCGACAAAGAGCCTGGCTCCATGCCCTCCTCAACGTTCTCAGCATTGCTTGTGCCTACAGTGCTGTCCTGGTTGTGCCGGCTGGCAATGCAGCCACTGTCCGCAAAGGTTCCTCCACTGTCTGTTCTACACTCCTTGCTCTGTGTTTGGAGAGCCAACGACTCAGTAGCTATGACTGGTGTGGCCTGGTTGGTTGCACCCTGGGCTTACTTATCATTGTGAGCCCAGGGTTGGGCACTCTACAGGAGGGATCCGAAGGGGTCTACACAGCTCTTGGCTACATATTGGCTGTCTTGGGTGGCCTGGCCCTTGCCCTGGGGCTGTTGGTTTACAGATCCCTGGACTTCCCTTCCAGCCTACTGACTGTGGCATTCCTCTTTGGAGTTGTAGGGGTGATGGGGGCCTTGCCAGGGCTCTTTCTGTTGCAGACACCTGTGATACCCCACGACCCACTGAGTTGGAGCTGTATCTGGGCTGTTGGGGTTCTGGCCCTGGTTTCATTTGTATGTGCCAGCTATGCTGTCACTATGGTCCATCCAGCACTGGTGTGTGCTGTGCTACATTCTGAGGTGGTGGTGGCACTAATGCTTCAATACTATGTACTCTGTGAGACTGTGACACCATTTGACATCATGGGGGCAGGAGTTGTATTGGGTAGCATTGCCATCATCACTGCTCAAAATATCAGTTGTGATCGGGAAAGAGAGGATCTTAAGGAATGAGGCAGAGTGTGTGTATGTAAATATGTGTGTGTTGGGGGGTAGGAAGTTGGGGCTTGGGAGACTTAGGACTCAGAAGTTAGTGGAGGGAGGAACTCAGGTGTATATAATATAAGAGGTGTTACTGGTGTAATCGGGAGACACAGAACAAGACAATGTTGGGAACTTGATGGACATTACTGAAAAACAAAGAATGGTTCTGGAGGACCTGAGGAAGAGAGGCTTAAAGTAACGTAAGAGGCAAAGTAGACCTGGAACAGTAGGATTGGGGGACAAAGGGGACGAGTCTTACAAGGCAAGTGGGCAAAGCTTAAAGTGCAAGAGAAATGGAAAACAGAAGTTCGGGTTTCCAGGTGGGACAAGGGACCACACTTTCTGTATGGAACAAGGCAGGCGATCTTCAATGAGGCTGGAGAAGGTAGGCACCCAATCAAAGGGAGAATGTTTTAGGACATGGTGGGATAGGGGTTGGTAAAGATTGACTGGCAAACTGGTACATGGGACAGGCACGATATTGACCTCAAACAAGGAAGAAGCCCTTGGTGTCATCTCTGCTTTGGGACTGGGGGGGGGGGAGGGATCAGCAAATCCCTCTCCAAGTGATCCTGAGTGTTTGTAGGTCGCAGGTCCTTCGCTGTCTCCTAAAAAATAAAATTTCTTAGTGACAGAAGGGAGCCCCTCTGGGGAATCTCCATCTCTTTACTTGGGGATATCTCCAGAACCTACTAACAAACCCTCAGGGTTCTTTTACTGATCTTCTGCTATTGGAAAGGCCGTTTGGTAGACTAGGCCTGGACTCCTTGCTGCGGAACAGGCCCCCGAGCCGCGGGCCTTTCCTGGTGTCGTAAGGGGCTGGGAGATCCAGACACTGCGCGCGCGTCTCCGGGCGAAACCGAAGGAGCGACAGCTCGCTCGTCCTCCGAGGCCCCTACGCCAAAGCCGCCAACTTCCGGACTTGCAGAACTAACCCGTCCATCTCGCTGGGGCAAAACATCTACGAAGTTATTAAATATTCATAAGCGCGAGGTGGGCGGGGGGAAGGGAGGAGACACCACCTCCCAGGCCATTTTTTATCTGGGCGGAGTTTGGGCCGGGCCACTCCTACTTTAGCACTCACGGAATAGACCAATTTCGGTCCTGACGGTGAGAGGGAGTAAGTGCCATTCAATGAAGATTAAACTGCTCCAGAGGAGGAAAAAAAGCGGTATCCATTGGCCCTTTCTACTTAAAATCTCTAGAGCTTAAATTTCAGAGGAGGAAGAAGCGAGGACGGGGGTGGAGATAACCACAATGAGACTACAATTGGTTCTCCTCCCCCCCTTCACTTTACTATTATCCAGAAGAAGACGAGTGGCCCGGAAGAGAGGCTTAACGTCCAAAGCACGCGCCCCCTACGTATCCGCGCTTACGGCCTCCTGGCGCAAAGGAGGGCGGGAAGGGAAGGGGCGGGGGAAATGGGGGGGCGAGTCTATAAAGGATGGTGGTCTGGGGCGCTCTCTTCAGAAGCGCCGAGAGCGCGGCTGGGGCGGTTGGCGAGGAAGGGCTTCCCGGAAGGCGAAGAGACAAACTGCTGTCGCTTCGGCCGTTAAGGAGCCCGGTTACTTATTTATTTATTAATATTTCCTTTTTCTGTCCCAAGGATTTCCTTTGGCCCCTTAAAAGCATTTTTTTTGGGGGGGAGGTAAAAGCCCTGGAAACGGGAAGAGAGAAGGTTCTTTTTGCTTCTTTTTAAGTACTTCCCCAGGTCTTTTTCGTCCGCCTTCTCTCGCCTGCTGGCATTTCCTCTCGACCCCGGGAGGTCTTACCCGGTGGCCGCCCCGGCGGGGACTGGGCGCCGAGGCAGAGGCAGCACCGGGTTTTTGTAGGGAGGTTTGCGCCTGCGCGGCGGGCCTGCCTCAGCCATGCACGGTGGGGGACCTCCCTCTGGGGATAGCGCATGCCCACTACGAACTATCAAGCGCGTGCAATTCGGAGTCCTCAGTCCAGATGAACTGGTAAGCAACACCCAATCCTCGGGACCTAGCCTTGGGTTGTGGCGGGGCATCTGTTGAAACATGTTATGTTGTATTGTATTGCCCTTTATCGGAATCCTCATAAGTTGATTGTAAAGTACGAGAGTTGCCGTGAAAGTAGTGCTAGGTCAGCCCTGGAGACATTCATTAAAGATTTAATGAACATTGACCAAGCTGAAGGGCAGCCTAACCCTTGTAAAGTTGGTGGGATGGGATGCACTTGCAAAGTTCAGTGTTGGAATGGGATACATATCTTCGGAACTAAGGATCTGGGTTGCAGTGCATCTCATGTTACATCTGCTAGTATTACTGATTAGATTTTGGGAAAGGGGGGTCGTGTGATGTAGATTGTAAAATTGGGGATTGGGAAAATAATGGAGATTCGAATTCATATGGATATCAAAAAGTGGTAGCTGTTGTTAGGGGCGGACTTTGTACTTGGATCAGAGTCTCAAATAGGGCAAAGAGGCAGCGTAAGAATAGACGAGTGTGTCTTGATATTATAAAGCTTATTTAAAGGATGTAAAAATGATTTATATTAGCCCTATTTAAGAGTCAGGGATGGAGGCCCTCAGGTAGTGGAGAATTTTTCTTGTTTTTGAGATAGTTGAGAGTTTAAAAGGGAGGTATTCTGGGTTTATGTAAGGATTGGATAGGTGGCAGGGAATTATTAAAATACATTGACAGCAGTATGCAGGTTGATACTGAAGAGAAGGATGAATGAAGTTTGGCAAGGCATTGTGGAGGGCTGCCAAAAAAGTGAGCAGGGGGATTGCTGAGAGATTTGGTATTGATTTGAGGTGGGGTGTGGACAGAAGGACTTTTAAGTTTAGTTTATATCCCCTTTGATATAGTTCTATATCCCCTTTGAGTTTAGTTCTATATCTCCTTCAAGTAGTAATAAAGTCATTTTTTCCCAAGAATCCAGAATGCTCAGACTTCCAGGTCTTGGATAATTTCCCCAAAATGGGAATAATAATACCAATAATGTTTATCTCGAGACAAGCAAGCTTAGACGGCTGGCTTTGGAGTCAGGAAACAGTCAATCATTAAACATTCCTTAAACCCCAACTATGTGCTGGGCTCTGGGTATGCAAATACAAGAGATAGTTCAGGGACAATCCTAGAATGTAACTCAGGAAGACCTCACAAGCCTTGCTTCTTACACTAACTGTATGATCATGGACAAGTCATTTATTTAACCTCAGTATCTCAGGCAAATAAGATTTAAGTTGCAATGGAGTTGCTCTTATGGTTAGAGAGATTCTACACGAAGAGTTCTCTACTTATTTACTTAAGGATTGTTGCAAGAATGAGATAATAATGAACCCAAAGCATTTTGTAAACCATAAAACTATGTAATATCTGTTATTTCTAGTTTTTACTTGAAAAAATTGGCTATATAACTTATAAGAACCCACTAGGAGTCAGAAGACAAAGGAGAACTATGTGATCCTTGTTCCCTTCACTCAAGCATTTACTTAACACTAACTCTGTGCTATTAAAGAAGCAGTTACAAAGAATAAATCCCTGCCCTCAAGGAGCTTATGTTCTCAAGAAGACAAGTACATGTATAAGTAGATGCCAAATAAATATAAAGATGATTTTAAAAAAGTAGGGAAGGGAAGGCATTAAGGGATCAGGAAAGGCTTCATGCTGGAACTCTGTGTTGAAGACAGCGGATTTTCTGAAGTGAATTAGAGGACAGATTACATGCCAGGTATGGGGGATAGTGCATAGCATGAAGGGGAGAGATGGTGACCCATGCAAGAAAAACAGAGAGAATACCAGGTTGTTGAATTGAAGAGTGTGAGAAGAGAGAAGTAACCAGGAAGCTGGAAAAATAGGGGCCAAATTTGAAGGTTTTTGAAAAGCTAAACAGAGAAGTTCACATTTGATCCCTGAGGTAAATGGAGAACCACTGGAGCCTATCAAGTGTGAGGGAGTGGCATGGTCAGATCTGCCAATAAGGAAAGGCACTTTGGCAGTCAAACAGAGGATGACCTGGAATGGTGAGAGTCTTGATAGGGAGAACATTACTATTGCAGTGATCTAGGTGATGAGGCTTTGAACTGAGGGGGTGGATGTATACATAGAGAGGTCAGATGAGGGGCATTTTGTGGAGGAAGGAACAAGATTGGCAACTGATCAGGTTTTTGGAATGTGTAAGAGTAAGGAATTAAGGATGACACAGACTGGAGAAATTGTTGGTACTTCTGACAAATAGGAAGATTTGGAGGAGGGGAGGGTTTGGGGAGAGAGATAATAAGCTCCATTATGGATATAGTGGTACATCCAGTTTGAAATGTTCAGTCAGCAATTGGTAACATGTGGTTGAAACTGAGGGAAGATACAGATGGAGAATATGGATTTTAAACCCATAAGAACTGATGAGGTCACCCATAGGCCCTGGGACCAAGCCTTGGAAACGTCTCTCAGGCCTCAAGTTGTTTGTGTTGTTGCTAAGGGCGGTGTACTAAGCTATCGATTTAGAGTCAGCATCTGAGTTCTGCAACTTACTTCCCTATTCAACCTTAGCTAGTCATTTAACTGTTCTCTTCAGTTGTTAAAATGAGAGGACTGGTTTAGGTGCTCTCCGATATTCTTTCTCAGCTCTCAATCCAGGCTGAACATGTGGCCCAGGTGAGAAGGATGTCGGTACTCCACTGGTACCCTCACAACGTCATAAGCTCAAATTTATGGAAAGACTCTTAAGTGTTGTATAGGATGAGCCATCTTCATAATTGGAGACTACATCCATGTTGATGAGATCACAGATCCATTTGAGCTTGAATTCTGACTACTTTTCATACTCCCTTCTCTTTCTCACTTTTTCCCTTTCACTCTCCTCCCTATTCTTGAGGAAATCCTGTCTTGAAACACCAGCTCCTTTCTAATTCTATGTATAGACCCTAATAAGTGTTTTTCATCTCATCCCTATATGTCCTCTTATTTCCCTCCAGTTTCATATGTTTTACCTGCAACTGAAGT